GTAGTACCTATATATGTAATATCAAAGCAATCGGACTATTGGTTTTTTACAAGAAGTCGAAAATATCACTTTTTACCAAAAATGACAAAAATATTCACCAAAATTAGAGAATTGAAGATATCATCACGAAATGAACAAATCTGAGAGAGGTCCACATGTAGTACCTATATATGTAGTATCAAAGCAATTGGACTTGCGGTTTTTAACAAGAAGTCAAAAATATCACTTTTTACCAAAAATGATAAAAATATTCACCAAAATTAGAGAAATTAAAGATATCATTACAAAATGAACAAATCTGAGAGAGGTCCACATGTAGTACCTATATGTAATATCAAAGCAATTGCACTTGCATTTTTTAACAAGAAGTCGAAAATATCACTTTTTACCAAAAATGACAAAAATATTTACCAAAATTAGAGAATTGAAGATATCAACATGAAATGAACACACCTAAGAGAGGTCTACCCAAGGTACATATACACCAAGTATCAAAGCATTCAGGCTTGTAGTTTTCAAGAAGAAGTCGACAAAGTAAAACATTGACACGGACGACGACGACGACGACGACAGACAATCACTCATATGATAAGCTCCGCTCGACAAAGTCGACAGCGGAGCTAAAAAGTCTTCATGAATGGAATGTCCCAGTCATGCCACTGTTTTGTTCATTGTGATACAAATAATGTGATTTTTTACATGCACAGAGGACGGGAGAGGCATACAGGACTGACAGTATGTAGTATTATGTCCCATCAGACTCAATGTCATTCTTCCAAACCTAAATGCACAGAGTTTGCAAGTGGACAGTATGCCAAGTTGGCCAGCCACAGAAGTCAAACCTGTAAACCAATCCAACATTTAAACCACATACTGAGACAAAATAATTAAAATATAATGTATGCTGAGCATAAACATATACACATGCCCAGCAATAAGGTGAAGAGATCAAGCTATCCTCGGGGGCGGACATCCGGGCATTTTCACCGCCTGGCAACCCGTGGCGGTGAAAACAAAGGCCCAAAACTCGCAGAAAACAGTACTTTGGGATGATTGTTGAGACTCCCCTGAACAGTGTAACAAGATTAGCCCTACGTGTGTAACATATATAAATTTGGTTGTTTGGGATTACTTCAAAGTTGAGTTTGTGTTGTTTTCTCGAATTTTCACCGGCTCGACCGGCGTTCCACAGCAGCGCGCACAGAGCCCATAGAAATGCATGGTACAGTGGTGCGCGTCTTAGCAACGTGGAACGTCTGTGACGTAGCTCCGCCCCCGAGGATTCATAAAAAAACTGCTGAGACTTACTTATGGATCCCAAGCCAGCTAATATTATGATCAACCACACAATGATTGCAGCTATAAATCTGATAAGGAACACCATGAGAATAGCAATAACTGAAATGATAAACACACACACATACATGTATAAATATACATCACTACAGCCAAACATGACATGATTTAATTTCACTTGATTTGAGTAGTTTTTCATTGGGAAATAACTTCTGACATAACTTCTAACCCTAACTTTGTATAGCTGTTTCATTTACATGGTGCGAAACTTAAACACACGTTATGAGACAACTACCACCCGTTAAAGAGAAGACACACAGTTTGCATTCAATTTGTGAAAATATCGCATGTGGCATGGATATCTACTATGGCATTTTTATAATTTCAGTGGGAAATTGAAGTGACTTGTATATATGACCTGCACATCACAACTATGGTTTGTCATAGAGGGAATACTTTTTATTTGAAATTAAAATTCTTATAAAACAATCTGAAATTCAGCTGATATGGTCTGCTGTATATGACACACACTGCAATAACAACCTGATTCAAAATATAGGAGATATATCAGATGGTTCATTTTGGCAAGGTCATGAATGTATTTTCAGAATTATTATTCACTCCCTCCAAAATATTGGTTGAATATTAAAAAAACTTAACGAATAAGAGTAAATTTCATGAATGAGCAGAATTGGTATACAGTATACACAAGGTGTTCGCATGAAATAGAACACAGTGGCCTCAACAAAATTGGCATGCAATGCACAAGGAATGATACATTTCTATTCGGTGTTATTTCAGCAATTGTTTCAATGTCAAAACTCTGCCGTTCCACTCCGCCGTATTGTAGAAATATGCATGAGATAAATATAAAATCCCACGATATTTGTTATTGCGTTGACATCAACATACACTTATCATTACTGCCAGTGTATATGATTGTATTGATAAGAAACTCTTACGATAATCATTCATGTTTGCTGACGTCAAGCTAAGAGAAAACATTATGGGATTACATGTACATGTATATATCAAAGGGCACTAAGGCAAACTCCTTAGGATCAAGGCAATTGTCTATGAAGGTCAAGCAGCATGAATGATTAAATCCACATAAGGTCCCTACATATCAAATAAATCACACCACCAGTTATCACTAAGATGTTGAAATTTGCAATGTTTACTAAAACTGACAAAAATATTCACTAATTATAAAAATCAAAATTGTCTAAAAATGAACAAATTAAGGTAAAAAATGTAAAATAGATGCAGACAGATCATCCACTTCACTATGATTTTTTTCAGACTTGAAAGTTGCACTTAGAGCATTCATAGTGCTGTACTGGTGTCTTGGGACTATCAATTGATGTATTTGATAGTCTGAATTCTCCATCATTAAAATTGAGGATTCACCAGTATTTTATCTTCTTCAGCCAACAGTAATACAGACCAGAAATCTGTACGCATTGGAATACCATTAAATAATGCTAGCATAGAAAATTCAAATGCACAATGGGAGGCTGAAACGATTACCAGTATTCAGATGCATTGACATTTTCCCACAATTAGCTCATAATCAGACTATCAAATACGTCACAAACTAGTCACAGGACCTCAAAAAAAGCTCTATAAATGCTCTCAGAGTACAACATTTAGGTGCATTAACATTTTTTAGGCAGATTTTATTTCATTCAATTACAATAATAGTATTACAGAAATGATAAATTTAGAGATACTTGAATTATCAAGGAATTTCAGTTGTCATGGCAACATAGATAAAAAGAAAAGATGCTTACCGAATGCAATCATACACATTCCTAAGATTTCATATCTAGCTATGTAAAGATCAGCAATAACTTTATTGAAAACATCCGCAGCATTCAACCAATCAACAATCTCATCAACATAGTTAGCTAACAGATCTTGTATGTCAGTTGGGATGCAACGATTTATGATTGAATTGCTGCAAAAAAAAAATGATTAAAAAAAGCAGGTGGTACAGATGGAACAAACATTCTCATATTAAAAATCAATCTCAATTTATAGTTATGGAATTCATATTTCAATAAATAGGAAATTCATATTGTATGCAGAGAATTCAGACAATAATGTATCAATATGGAAAATATTTACTAGTCAGTCTTAGTCGTGATAACATTTCTTAACTTTTTCACCGCCATACATTCTTACTTTTTTCTAATATTCTATATTTCTGGAAATGACAGCTAATTTTGGGGTAAACAGACAAAATTTGAGTAAATTTTCAGTCTTTAAACAAAAGATTTTACGATTTTTGTTCTAATCTTCTGAAGGAAAGTACAGACTATAAACGTGACTATTTTGTCAATTTGCGATAAAAAGAGGGAACTGGTGTTAAAAAGGTTAAGTTAAGCATATCAGACCAAAATGCTGGTTATGTGAAAATATTTTACACATTTTTAATTTCAATTCCTACTTTTAGTACCTTTTTAGTATTCATATTATATTGAAGCCATTATGAGACGGTGGTTACACCAAGTGAATAGGTATATTAAAGTCTCCAGGGAATGCGACATAATAGTATATAACAGTATATGGTGTTTGTTGGGGAATGCATTTATTTCATAAACAGCTACAAGTAGTTCATAAGATCCACATGTTATTTGCATGTCCAAACTCTTGCAATGTTCAACACACAGAAAAAGAAAAGCTTTCCATTATTGACTAAAGTCTCAACCACAAAAAACAATGTCGGCAGAAAATGTGTTGCAACAATTCTAAACTATTAAAAAAAAACAATTATGCTAAATTATTAAGAATATGAGGTTACCTCTGTTTGACTGGAGTCTCAGGACAAGGTCCCTGTGTACCCTGCTTGACTGAAGTGTACGAGTCTGGTTCATAGTCATATCTACAAAGCCTAGAGCCAGTCCTAATTGTGAAATCACGCACTTCACTCATAGTATTCAGGTCTATATCAGGACACTTGCTGACACAGATTTCTAAGGAGTCACTTGGATTATACACATTCATGAAGAACACATGTCTGCAAATATAGAATGCAGAAAATTTAATGATAGTATTTATTTCAAAATAAAAATAAAATTTACATATGGCAAAAAAAAAATCATATGTACATGTAGTTTTAAGATAGTTGTCAGTGAATATTAGGACATTTTGATAAATACTATCATTATACATCTGTCTGCGTAACGCCATATGTTACAGCGTGCGTTTTACGGGGTATTTTCATCCTACCATATAAGGAAATGCAAATTTCAAATATAAAATGATTACGCGCATAAGCGTCCTCTAATAATAAAAACAAACATGGCTGCCATCAAGGATTTTTGGATTTCGGCTTTCCCATGATGTATCCTTGGAAGGAAAAGATGTATAATAATAAGGTTATTACGAGAATACCACAAAGTATGCACTCGGACA